CCCACGTGTGACGTCGATGCCGAGCGGCACCAAGCCAGAAAGCCCGATAACGGTATCCTGCAGCACCTTGGCCTTGAGGTCGTCGAGTACCTCTCCGACGTCGGGCACCATGGACAAGTCGACGCCGTCATCGTATGACGCTTTGCGGGGCTTGTCGTGGGATGGTGCTTGCCTCGGGGGCGACTCCCTCCGAGAAGCACGGCGCGCGTCGTATATCTCGAAGAAATCGCCGTGGAGACGCGTCAAGTGCGACTGCAAGAACTGAAGCTCCTCGTCGTCATCGCGTAGAACCTGTCCACGGTGAATGGGTTCGTTGTCCTCTTCAAGTGCTGCCTTTTCTTTCTCTTCCTTTTCCTTATCAAGAACTTCTTGCATGTGCGCGAGGGGGCGATCCGTGATCTGATGCTCCAGCGAACGCTCTTGCTCTTCCGTCTGTTCGGCCTGAAGCTTTTTGTCGTTGCCGCTCGACATGCTGACGAGCTCGTCGAGCGCAGATGGTTTGGCCGGCGTTTGGGGTTGGGCTTGTTCGGGAGTGATGTTGGGTGACGCGATGGCGGCAGTTTTACCGTTTGGCACGTCGGCGGGTGCGGGAAGAATATCCCTCCGCTTAGGGAGAAAACTCGAGTTGATGTCGCCGATGCCCTTGAAGAAGTCATAGGGTACCACCTTGATGAGGTTCGGGCGGTTGCGCGGCCAGACGTCGGCGCGGTCGTCAATGATGACAACCATATTCGTGCTGACGGGGAAAAGGCGCTGAAGGCTCTTGGATGTGATGCTGCCGTTCTCGTCACGGCTGATGACGCGGTTGCCGAAAAGCTTCTGCTGGGGGTCAACAATCTTGGCAATGTTGAGAGCATAAGCGCGCGTGCCCATGGTGTAGACATGCAGCTCGTATAACTCTGCCACCCTCTCAAGAAACTCCCTGAGTCCTGGGCGCATCTTGATGTAGTACCAGCATCCCTGGGTGACACCGCGGGGGCCTTCGTCGTTTAGTTGGAACTTCTGGACGTCTTTGACAGCATCGTAATTTGGGTTCTCGGGGTCGTTCATCCACTCGCCCACGGTGGGTTCGATGCAGGCATGAATGATGGTCTGATCGAGATCGACGACGAGACTCAGCTTGCGCTGACGTAGCAGACGTCTTTGGGCATCGTGTTCGGCGCGAGCGGCCATGTCGTTGCTGACCATGAGTCCAGTCTGGTCGTGGGTCATGTTGACGGTAGCACGGTCTGTGTCGATCTGGTCGCTGGCCCAGTTGACCTCGGTCATGTCCTGACCGCAGACGGCGCAGAGGCCGTGGAATTGGATGGCATGGTCGCAAGGCTCTTCAACCTCCATGCAGGGCATATCGCGGACTATAACATCGCCCTCACGGAGGCGCCATCTCTCAAAGTTGCCATCGACCGGGCTGGCCCATTCGCTGATGGCGGTTTGTTCTTCCTGGTGAAGGTTATCGGAGAACTGGTCGCCGACTTCCTTCATGAACTTGAAAGAATATTCTAGGACGGGCTCCTGTTTCTTTATGGTGTCGCCTTTGGATTTGAGAAGCTTCGTGATAGTGATGGGATAGCGCAGGCGCGCGCCGAGAGACAGGAGTTTGCCCATTCTGGCGTGCGTTAGAAGCAGAAGCGCGTAAAAGAAAAGAGAAAGGTAGCTGCGTGCAAGGAAAAGCTGAATCGGCGTACTCAAGAGGCACCTCTAGTATTGGTTAAGATGGTCGATGATGCAGCCTCCAATCCCATGGCACCGAGGCGCGTCGTGACGAGAGTGGGGTGCCGCAGCTGGAGCAAGGCAAGACGCGGTCGTCAGGTCGTGCTAGCTATTTGTGTAACCGAATCAGTGATGGATTGGTATCGAAAAGGTTTCGAGCTCGTATAGGGACGTTGTTCAGCAGTGAAAACGTTGTAAGAGATGGCCCGTCGTAGGTAGCCACTCGTCGAGGAACTGGTGATGATGTCTCGGTCTGGGTCTGGACCGTCGAAGCTTTCGGGGGGGTTTAAATGTGACGGCGGAAGGGCGGAAGACGGCGGGACGGGTTACGGTGGGGGAGCTCAGTTGACGCTTGGGGGGCTCTCGCTCTAAAAGTGTTCGTCTGCTGAGCCACACTGACGCAGCTGCAAACGGAGACGGGCGGCGGTGGTACAATATTCCGTACGGTCTGTAGACGGCGCGGGTAGGTGGGGGCCCTGGTGGAGACTAGGTATATGGATGGGGGTACAAGAGGAAATTGGGACCAGGAAGAGAAAATCGGGGGACTGAAGTGAGCTTAAGTTCCCAAGGCGCGTCAAAGAAAATTTCCGATATGCGCGGGCCCGTACTATGCTCTTTGTGCCACGAGGTTTTGCTGTCTTTGATGGGTAAGAATGTCGGCTGGTGGCGTGTGGATGTGGGATGATGGAGTCAAAGTCGGGGTTGAAGCACGACGAGCAGAGGCAGCGTCAATTGGCGGCCGGACCCGGGTTACTATTGCCATTTGGGGGGGTGGGAAGCCCGGCCTTTTGTACCTGGCAGTGTCAGTGCCTGCTCCTTGCAGGCTGCGGCATTGGAGCTGGCGTCCAGTGTTGCTTGCCAGTGGGCAGTTTTAGTCGGTGGTGCGTGGATTTGGGGTCTTGGGTTCAAGCTGGTGGGGCGCATGATGCGGATGCAGGCGGGGGCTCGGGGCATCTCGGCTACGGCCCCTGGCAGATGCCTGGCAGCTGGGGCGATCACTCCAGTGGATCCATCGGCGCATGTCTGTTGCGCGACTGGTACCATGGGCCACCGTGAATGTGACTGCAATGGCCGCATCATGCGAAGCTTCAAAGCTGCACGTGTGGTGACACGACAGAAACACTGGAGATCAGCCGCTGTAGCTCGGTCTAGTCTTTTTATGGTCCGCAGATACCTAGCCATCTATACCATCTGTAATACCTTTAACTCTTTGAAGGTGGATATTGCATGCCAGTCACAGATGACTGCTTTAATACCCGCCATCACAAAGGGCAGTAGAGGTTCACACAAGTACAGTCTAGTTACAGGAAAGACTTGGGTTTGTTTCTTGAAATGAGTACAATATTTACACTCAGTTACTTACGTGGACTAGACACAGTTTCAGGAGTAAAAGCAGGCTTGTGTTGGTACAGAATGCCTAGAGACTTTATTTACAGAAGGTAATGAGCACCATTAAATGGTACATGTGTAGAAGAATAAAAGTTGATATAGTATCGTGCTGAATGTATTCGCCCGGAGTAGAGATGAAAGTGCCGGTATATCTGAAGCGGTTCGCGATTCCTCAGACTCGAACTCTTGACATTCATCTTGAACAAAGTAGATGAGTATCTTCAGCATTAAATAATTTCTACATTGCAGGACCCGAGTACTGACATGTAAAACTACGAAAATCCATTATTCAGATTAGGAGAAACTCTATAAACCACTTTTCAGCATTTCATTCCTCGTGCTCAGGCCGGTAGCAATCCCAGCCATACTCAGAGAGTAGCTTGCCTGCTTATTTTAGAGACGTGCATTCCGGCGTCACATCGAGAGCGAGCGAGACGCCACTTGCAAGCTTCTGGCCAGCAATGCGCTTCAATTGATTTTGGTTAAATATCTAAAGGAAACAGGACAAGTCTGGAAAAAGACTGCGAGGGGCGACCTCGCCCGTCCGCCGGCTGGTTGCCTGGCTGCTGGCCTCACGTGTTGGCGTCGTCTGACCGATCTATTCCAGTGTGCACGTCGCCTCACGCAATGGCCAGCCACATCAACGCATCCAACACGACTCAGCGCTCAGGTAGTCATCGTCGAGTCACATCTGCTAGATCGTCAATGTTGAGTCACAATTAATACGATGGGACACACAGTCAGTGCCGATTAACCAATGAACAGGTACAGCCTCAGGCAGCAGCACGCATGCAAGCAGGTACAATTACGAAGCACCGACACCTGCTGGACAGGCAGGAAAAGTTCATGAAACAGAAAAGTCATCATCATCATTACATCCATCGTACGAGGTATCCTAAGCCAGACCAGCCGCCCATCCACAACGCCAACCAATCCTACAACGACTAGGCACCTCACGCTACCTGCACGAGCTTGAATCCCTCGCCCACGACCCTTGCGATCTCCTCGTTCTTGTGCGGCAGCAGGCCTAGCGCGAATGCGACATCGTTCCACTGCCTCTCTGTGTCGCAGCGCGCCAGACGCGCCGCCAGTTTGTCGGCCAGCTGTCGCGCATGTTTGTCCTTCTCGACGAACCCGAGCAAGAAACGCACAATGCGACGGAAGCTTTCCTCGCCGAGGCCCTTCTCGGCGGACAGCAGGCTGAACATATCGACAAAGTGGTTGTAAACGGCATTGTCCTTGGTGCTGAGCTCGGTGAAGAACATGCGCGCCAGGTCGGCGATGCGTCTGTCCTCGTCTTCGAGACACTTTGCCATTTCGCCGAGCTGGCCCTTGACCTTGACCTGCCCTGCTAAGATGAGGAAGGTCAGAGTCATGAGACACGTACGCTTGACGGACTGGTCGCTGTCGGCAAGACGACGGTAAAGGAAGTCGGTGTTTTCGTCGATCAGGTGGTTGAAGCACACAGCCATGTCACCGAGCGCGATCACAGCGTTGGACCGGACCGTTGCGTCTGTGGACCGCTCCATGATGGTAATGAGGAGAGGGAGGTTTGCCTCGCAATACTCGGAGCTGACGCACATCAGCTTGGCCAGACACAGCGTAGCCGCCGCCTGGAGACCCTTGTCTGCGTATGTCGTGTTGTTGGCGCAAATTTCAGATACCAAGGGGCCAAACTGCGCCAGCAGAGCATTCGAGCCAAAGAGGAGCTCCCGCTCGCGAATATGCGCCATGGCTTCCGTGAAATCATCTTCCGTTGTTCCGCCGATGAGGTCCAGATCATCTGGCTCTTCTGTCTTGTCTTTCTTGGCGGCCGGGTCGGCCTTCGCAGTCTTATCCTTCTCAAGATCCTGCTTCCGACGCTTGAAATCAAGTTCGCAGAGTTCAAGATGCACAATTTGCTTGATGGCAACATGGCCAACGATGATTAGAAGTTGTGAAAAGACCGATGGCAGCATCCCGCTTTTTGGGCCTGCGCAAATACAGTCTGATTTCCGTCGGCATCGATTCCTTGGGTCATCGTTTGCGTCTCATCGCGTGAGCTCGGACGTGATTGTGGTGAGAACACCTGCCTTGTTTTCCTCCGAATGATGTCGGAACACAGGATGTCAGGGTGCTTCGAGATGGAATAAATGGCGTTGATAGCCTGCTCTGTCATGCCGTACCATTCTTTGCTTTCGGACGAAACCTCAGTGATAGCTGCGAGCTTACCCAAGACGGCGTGGTCATTCGGCAGGCGAGAGAACTTGATGAGTGAGTCTTTGGCCTGGCGCCCTGTCGGATTGATCCTGCGCAGCGCAATGCAAGTAAACTTGGCAAGCTGAAGGTCTGCCCTTCCGTGTGCACCCAGACCGGTACGAAGCATGGTTTCCATTTCGCCAACGACGATTTCTGGGTTGGCTGTCGCCAGCATGCCCAGCACAATGATGGCACCACGGCGTTGGGTCCGCGAAATCTCTCGCTTCTGAACACCATAGACTTGCCACAGTTTTGCAATGACGAAGTCGGGGAATGAGACCACCCTTCATCATAGTAGCCAGCAGCTGCTCGAGAGACGTGAGCTCGGCAGGGGAAGCGCCAAATGTCAGACTGATCATGTTGCGCGCAATGTAGTTGGCGGCGTCGTTGGGACTGAATGACTCAGGAGCTTCGAAAAAAAGCCTCTTATAACAGTCAATCAGATGAGTCTGCACACCCTTGCCTTCGTCGCTGTTGCCTTTGGTCCAGATGAGACGCAGCATCCTGCGGATGCCCACCTTGTTCTGCTCGATGTTGTAGGCGTCGCCGACCTCAAAGTAATCCATAGCCTCGATAACCTCGCTCTTGTTTCTGGAGCCGAGGAGCTGGCAAATAGTTCCGGTGGCCTCGTGGAGGACGTCAATGAACTTGAGAGCTTCGCTGTAGTATCTCTTGGTCAGGCCAAGCTTTTCAATAGCCTCTGATGTGGCAGCCTCTTCGCGTGCCTTCTGTACGGCAGCAAATCTCTCTTCATCCGTCATTGTTGGAGCGGGCTTCTTCTGTGGTGACTCCGGCACCTGCGTGGCGTCGTCCAGGAGCTCAGGGTCAACAGTCGTATTGGCGTTCTCACCGAGACCAGGCGCCCCCTCAGGTGGCTGTAGCGCATTCAGCTCCTCGTCAACCTTGTCGAGACGTGCCTGCCACTCCTTGCGAGACAGCTGTGCGCCGTGCATGACGGTGAAAGGGTGTGTCTTGATCAGCGCGCCGAGCAACTTGATGGCATTACGCCTGACGTTACTGCTCTTATCCTCAAGGCTGCGGCATGCTAGCTCGGCGGCCTTTTGCCTTCGCTTAGGGAACTTTTGCTCGAGGTCACAGATCTTGACGTACACCTGGATGGCGCGGCATCGGCAGTAGGGGTTGATGTCGAGAAAACGCTCCTCTAGGACATCAAAGAACGCATTGAGCTGTGACTTGTGGTTCTCGCCACGTTCCTCCTGACGGCTGAGATGCGCGACCATGTTGCCACAAACCTCAATGAGGGAGCAACGCAGGGTATAGGACTGGTCACTTTGTCAGTCGAGGCCACATGTTTGAGTAGAAGCTGCCATACCTCGCTATCGAGCTGCTTAGCCAGCATTGTCATTTGCTTAATCACCAGTCGCGGCGCCAACTCCGAGAGCTTAACTATGAATTGAGATACGGATTTGGGGCCCTTCGTGTCGTTGCTGTTGAACTCCTTGTTACTGAGCTCGCGCAAAATCTCGTCGGCCAGCTGAGGGTAGTCGTATGTCTCGGCAAGGATATGCAGGAACTCAGCCATGGGCTCTGAGAGGTGCTCGAAGTAGGTCAGGTTTTGCACAATGTTGATTTGCGCGGCTGTTCAGCGTCAGATTTCCAGTTTGGATCAGAATGTCGCGACTCGCATACCATATCCATGACCGTGATGCTTGACGCCATGCAGAGGACCTTGAAGGCGGGCAAGCCGAATGGACGTGGTTCTTGGACCCCCTGTTGGTTCTCAGCACGAGAATAGACTTGCCTTGTCCGAAGGCCCAAATAAAAGTGTCGGGCTCCGAAGTTGTTCAAGGAAATTCTTCGACAGTTTGGACCTGAGCCCCTTACACATTATGTCAAGGACGGGCTGTAGCTGTGCCGAAGAGTCCCAGACGGCCTCCTGGCCCTTGGGCGCGTTCTTCTTGGGCTTGCCGCGGCCGCGCGCGACGGGCTGAGCGGACGACTTCTCGGCGGCCTTTGTCTCGACGGCGGCAACGGTCCACTGCAGCAAGAAGCCGTAGACCTCGAGCAGGTGCTTGTGGTGGGCGAGGGTCTCCTGGTCGTCAGGAGACTCCAGGTCGTGAAGTATCGCGTCAGCCTCGGCGGCGAGGCCGGACATGACGAGATCGAAAAACTTGCTCAATGCATGAGTCGGTAGGTAGGAGGTATATCTGGAAAGATTGAATAGCTCAAAAACTGTATCATGCGAAGGGCGCCGGCCGGCGGCGGAGAAGAAGCGGAGGAGAAAGGGGTTCAGAAGAGGAGGGAAAGACAGATTGACTGGGGGAGGTGGGTGCACACTTTAAGAGGAACTGCAGCGAGTCCATGTACGAGGCGCGCGTGATGGCCTCAGGGTTCTCGGCGACGGCATCGACAATGGGGTTGAGGACAGGGTCGATGACCGCATTCGTCAGCGCGTCCGGCTCATTTTCGCAGTCAAAGAGGGCCCCGTCGGCCTCTGGCGTTGGGATCGAGGCCGGGTCGCTCATGTAGTGTTTCAGAGCCTCGTTGATATCGAACGTAATGGACTCCATGGCCATGGTCGGTGGTGAAGTGTGCCCCTTGGGCGGGGGGGGGGGAGGGGGGAGAAGAGAATAAGATGGTGTTGCAAAGAAAAGGCGCGGGGTGGGTGGTAGGTCGGTGTAGAAGAGAAAGGAATGAAGAAGCGAAGGACGGCAACTAGGCCAGCTTTGCGTGCTCGTTCTAGATGGCTTGGTTAGTTGTGGGATGGAGGAGGCCGGCCTTTCTTACCGGATGAGGTACTGAGGATTGTTGTGGTTGCACATCAGCGGCAGGCGGTGATGCGGCAGTGGATGCGCCTGGCAACGGCTGTTTTTGTTTTCTTCGACGCGCCCCCCGCATTGGCTGCTTCGCGCGCGCTCACTGCAGACACCATTGGAAAGCGCCCCACCAACCGTGAAGGACCCCTCCACTCCACACCGACTGTGGAATCGACTTTCGCCATGTGCTTGTCTGAAGGCTGACCAACTGCACGCACCGGAGCATTCCAAACCCTTTGATACCCTCTCTGATACCTTGTATCCTCAAAGTCAATTGCCCAACCACCACTTCTCTCCAAGTCACCATCTGCCTGCCGTAGTCTCTTCCCGCCGCCCTCCCCCCTCCAGTCGCACAGTCTCCTCGTCTCCGACATGACGGCCGTCCGGCGACGCGCTGGCGATGCCTTTGAGATACACGAGGATGTGCCACGCACGGAAGACACAGAAATGATGGCCGAGTCCGAACTCCGCACAGAGGAAGCGGTACCAGAAGAGGTTCCGGAAGAAGTCCCAGATGACAAATACGCCGATTCGGAATACCCAAGCGACGGCTCTTCTCTGACCTCAGAAGAACCAGAGGTCGACTCAGGCGTGCAACAAGAGATGGACAGGCTGCAAGAAGTATTTCCAGGCTTTCGAAACCAGTACCGACTGATCAAGCGCATTGGAGAGGGTGAGCTGGTTCCCTTGCCCCCCTTGACCCATTCTTGTGGACCTGGCTGACACCCCTTCGTAGGCACTTTTTCGACCGTCTACAAAGCCGAGGACTTGCTCTACGAAGAATACGACAATGATTGGGACGTGGACGGACACCATGACGACAGAGATCGCTACGGCAGGATGAAGGCGCGTGCAGGGCGCTTCGTTGCTGTCAAGAAGATTTACGTCACCTCGTCACCATCACGTATCTTTAACGAACTTGAGCTGCTGTACGACCTGCGCAACTCTCCGTCAGTGTGTCCCCTGATCACCGCGTTTCGCTCTACCGACCAGGTCCTTGCAGTTCTGCCCTACTTCCGCCACGAGGATTTTCGCGACTACTTCCGCCAGATGACGATCTCTGATATAGTCGTCTACATGCGCTCACTCTTCATGGCCCTTACCTTTGTGCACGAGAAACGAATTCTGCATCGCGACATCAAGCCAACCAATTTTCTCTACGACCCTTCCTCTCGCCGTGGTGTCCTCGTCGACTTTGGCCTTGCCGAGCGCGAGGGTGTCGATGCGAAACCCTGCCTCTGCCACGAACAGTCCGGTGTCCGGCGCAGTCGTCTGGTCAACAGCGTCGCGCACCTCAACGGCCCTCAGACGGGCTACCCCAAGAACGACACAAGACCCTCGCGTCGCGCCAATCGCGCAGGTACTCGTGGCTTCCGAGCCCCTGAGGTCCTGTTCAAGTGCACAGAGCAGACGACCAAGATTGATATCTGGAGTGCCGGTGTCATCCTACTCACGATCCTGAGCAAACGCTTTCCCTTCTTCAACAGCGCCGACGACGTCGAAGCCATGATTGAGATTGGCACCATGTTCGGCACCAAGAAGATGCGCGCCGCGGGAGCCCTGCACGGCTGTATGTTCGAGACGAACATTCCCACCATTGGCCTCAGTGGCTTCTCACTTGAAAAGCTCGTGCTGTGGTCTACGTGTCGGTCGCCCAACGATCGCGAAGGCGACCCCAGAGGCCAACCACTCAACGAGGAAGAGAAGATGGCTGTCAGTTTCCTGGAGAGGTGCATGGACTTGGATCCGGCAAAGAGAATCAGTGCTAATGATGCTCTGGATCACCCATTCTTGGCGGAGGGGCTTCCCTTGGTTCGCGAAGATGCTTATGATGAAATGGCTTTGGTGGAATCTTGATGGAGGAATGCATTTGAGACTATTTCAAGTTTGTACATCAGAGGCACGGCGTCAGGGGCATTATTAGACAGCGTAAGTCGTCACACTGACGGCAGGCACAGAAGCGGCCACCAATACATTAATCATGGTCATGCCCCGTTTTCAAGCCAACACCAGAGGGTGACATGAACATCGTAACGCTTGGAAAGCCAATTGAGCTGGAGAAGGGCGGGGGCCGTTGCAGAAGATCAACCCTTTTTCATTCGGTTTAACTCCGTGGAAAAATTCATGTCCCCATTCATGCAATGCGCGAGAAGCCATCCCAGGCCCCGGTTTTTGTCCTTGAAAATTTCCATTTCCACAACCGGCTTCTGAAAAGTGACAATGACAAGAAAAGGGGGCGGTTGTTGCTGGTTACTTCAGTAGTCCGCCGACCCGATTGGGAGCTGGCTTACGAAGACGCCGGCGTGCCGTTGCGTCTCGCGCTCCCACTACCCCGTGATATTGTCCGTCCGTGGTCCCCTTCCCTCCGCGCAGGCTTGTTTTACCTCCCACATCGGTTTTCCCTAGCCAATCGTAATTTATGCGACGAGCTCGACGACACCGCCGGCCTCGGTGATCTTCTTCTCAGCCTGCATCGTGTTAGTGTACTGCGGAGAGGTTCATGATGCAAAGCGACGGGGTTGGTACTGACCAGCTTGCTGACCCACCTGGCCTTGACGACGAGGGGGATCTCGGGGATACGGCCCTTGCCGAGCAGCTTGGAGTAGCCGAAGGGCAGGAGGTCGATGACGGGGATGACGTCCTTCTTCTCGCCCTTGATGTAGGCGTCACGCTGCTCGAGGGGAACGAGCGACCACAGCTTGTCGAGGTTGACGACGGGCTTCCAGAAGTGGCTTTGAGGGGGGTTAGCGGGGTCGTTGTGGAAGGGGTTTCGTCTCGTTCGATCGATGTGCTTCGGGGTTGGGGGCCGTCGGTGGCTCAGGACAAATCTTCCGCGTCCGGTTCCCAGCTCTTGCGCAGAGTGATGGCCAAAAGCCTATCCTCCTCTGATGTCTGCCTGCCTTGACCAATTTGTCCACCGCCCTTCCTCCAAAGCACATCGTTCGAGTCGAGATCGGGGTTCACGTACTTCTGCTGCTTGTGGAAGTAGCGCATACCAACCTTACCGAAGTAACCAGGGTGGTACTTGTCAAGGTTGGTACGGTGGTGGTGCTGACCACCGGCCATACCACGACCACCGGGATGCTTGCGGTGCTTGCCGACACGTCCGTGACCGGCGGACACGTGGCCGCGGCTGTGACATGAGTTAGTGATTGTTCATGGTGTTTTGCGTCTCTTCCTTCCTCGAAATGTCATCTCAGTCCCAGGTCTGGCGATCGTAGTCGGCGCTCCCCAAGCCTTGTTGATCGTGCGATGGCATTGTTGCGCTGCGCTTTTCTTCGTCGACCAGACCGGTTCCAATTCCGACGTCTCGAGTTCAGGGAATTCGAGGGACAACAACGTACTGCTTGCGGGTCTTCGAGAGGCGGGTAGGCATGGCGACGGTGTGTGATGAGTCGCACTGCTGTGGTTAGTGAAGTCTCGTCGATGTTTTTCGTGGTCGCTGCGAAGATTTCAGAACCTGATGGCAGAGGCGGGCGTGGGCAATCGGCTGGGTGGGGCGCTAACCGTGTTGGGCGATTTGGTGGAAAGGGCAGGCAGCCCTAAGTTATTGCAAGCTTGGGTCACCTGATTTTATTTTCAGGACAATGCTAGGCGTTGATGTATGACTCAGCAGGCCCATCTTCAGTGGGACGTTGGTGTGACTGCTGCTCCACCGAAGCTTCACCGTCGACTTCCGTGAGGAGAGGTCTACCAGGTTTGACTTTGCCACAGCGAATGGCAGTGCTGTGGAGGCGATATACCGGTCTCCAGCTCCAAGTCGGACCAAGCTAAGATAGAACAACGAGGTGCCTCGTTATTCGATCCATGCAGTCACTCCCTCCCCGAATGGCACCATGGAACCCCTCGACGAGGTCACCGACTTCAACCACCCATACACTCCGTACGATGTACAAACACAATTCATGACAGAAGCCTATAAGGTGCTTCAGACTGGGAATGGGCAGATTGGAATCCTTGAGAGCCCCACTGGCACGGTAGGTCAATCTCGGTGAACCATATACAAGGCGCTCATTATCGCAGGGCAAGTCTCTCTCCCTCATATGTGCTGCGCTCACCTGGCTACGAAACCATAAATCGCACGAGAACGAGCTGTCTCTCGGATCTACAGATGTTAACCTCGAGGATGAGCCTGATTGGATCATTGAACAAACCCTCAAACGAAAAAGAGATGACATCTCCAAGAAATGGAAGCAGCGTGAACAGCGCCTTGAGCAAATCCGTGTCAAGGAGAAAGCTCGCGAGGCACGCAGCGCCAAGCGGCGCCGCATTGATGATGGCAACCAGAAGAAAGTTCGCAAAAATCCTGAAGACGAAGAAGCAGAATGGTTGCTGGATGATGCAGACGAACCTACCTCGCAGAGCGATGCTCTGTCGGGCCTTGGCAAAGAGACACTAGAAATTCTATCTCGATACGGCCTTGGAGGACTGAAGCGTGACAAAGAAGACGAGGAGATACTCGAGGATGGTGTAAAGGTGTGCTTGCGCTGTCTTAATTGGAACGACATAAGGACTGCTGGTAACGTTATTAGATATTTTACACATCAAGAACGCATTCGCAGCTCTCGCAATTCGTTGCCGAACTCCGTCGACCGTCCTTCCCGTCGTCTATGCCATCGTCGCTCGTGTCGGGTGAACATGGAGCGGCTGTTCAGGCTACCCAAGAACCAGTCAAGCATCTCCCATTATCATCACGACAAAAATTATGCATCAATCCAGCTGTCTCGCGCCTCAAGACGCAGTCGGCCATCAACGACCGGTGTGCTGAGCTGCAGCAACCAAAATCGAAAAACAAGTGCCCGTATATGCCGAAAGAGGAAAATTTGAATAAGACATATCAGTTCCGGGACACAGCCCACGCAACCTTACCCGACATTGAAGACCTGTTTCATCTTGGCAAGTCCCTAGAAGTGTGCCCTTACTACGCCTCACCCACAGCGATCGCTGGCACGGAGATCATCACACTGCCGTACCCTCTGCTTCTGCAAAAGACCGCGCGTGATGCATTAGGCATTAAGCTTGAAGGCAATATTGTCATTGTCGATGAAGCTCATAACATCATGGATGCGATCGCCAATGTGTATGCATCTGAAATCCGACTGGGTGAGCTGAAGAGGGCACGACAGATGCTTGGTGTCTACGTCAAGAGGTTTGGGAAGAAGCTTAAGGGCGAAAATCGCGTCATGGTCGGCCAGGTAGGTCGTGTAGTGGATGGATTGAGTGGTTGGATGAGCGGCGCCCTTCGACTCAAGGTATGTTCGCCATGCCATACCGAACACACGCTTGCTAATAGCCACAGTCCGAACAGGGCATTGTCGACGCCAAAGAACTCCTGCGCTCTAAAGGCATCGACCAAATCAACCTCTTCAAACTCATCCAGTACATCCAAACTTCCAAGCTCGCCTACAAGATCGAGAGCTACGTGGCGTATGTCGAGGAGGATGACTCGAACAAAGCCGCCCCTCGATCTTCCACGCCTGTTCTTCATACGTTCGTGTCATTCCTCGTTTCCCTCACAAATTTGAGCTCCGAAGGCCGCATATTCTACCAAAAGCTGCCAGGTGCAGCTCCAGATATCCAGCTCTCCTACCTTCTCTTGTCACCAACGCATGCCTTCTCCTCGATCGCCACCAGTGCGCGCGCTGTCATACTCGCTGGCGGTACCATGTCACCGTTCGACGACTATCGCGCGCACCTTTTCCCATACCTGCCCGAGCCAAAGCTCACGACCCTCAGCTGCGGCCACGTTATTCCGCCATCAAACCTCTGCGTCCGAACACTGGCTGCTTCGCGAGCTGGCGACCCAAACTCGACATTTGAGTTCAGCTTTCAACGCCGCGGTGATAAAGGGATGGTCAATCAGCTGGGCCTCGCGATTCTCAACATGTGTGCTGTCGTGCCAGACGGCATTGTCGTATTCTTTCCCAGCTATGGATACCTAGACGAGGTCGTTGCTGCATGGGAGACGACTGCCGCCGGCGAATCGACGCCCATCTGGACCCGTATGCAGCAGCGTAAGGCCATTTTCAAAGAATCCAAGGGGTGCTCCAGCGAAGAAGTGCTCGCATTGTACAGCGAGGCCATCTTAGGCGACGGCACCAGTAATGCAGCAAAGCCACGTGGGGCCCTGCTTCTGAGTGTTGTTGGCGGCAAGATGAGTGAAGGCATCAATTTCTCCGACCGTCTCGGCCGCGCTGTCATGGTTGTTGGCCTGCCGTACCCGAACATGCACTCGCCGGAATGGAAGGCCAAGACGGAATATGTCGAGATGACAGTATTGAAGCGGGCACTGGAGGCGGAGCCAGGGGTGGACCGAGCAAAGGCACAGACGGCGGCGAAGCAGGCGGCGAGGGACTTTTACGAGAACGCATGCATGAGGGCCGTCAATCAGAGCATTGGTCGGGCTATCCGTCATCGCGGAGATTATGCTGCCATTATATTGTGTGACCGCCGTTACGGCACAGAGAGGATCAAGGGGAAGCTACCTGGCTGGATTCAAGGGGGGATCCAAGGAGATGGGCAGGAGAGTGGGTTGCCGCAGCTCATGGGTGCTTTGAGCGGCTTCTTCAGGGGTAA